ATAAGTACCTATAGTAGTAAAAAATATATATTAAAATGAGAAAAAATAATAAAAATTAATAAAGATTAAGCCATTATTAATTACATGAAACCTAAACGAATCTTGCCTAAAGTACATCTCAGTTGTCTCTAGGTTTATGAATATTGGCATTTCATAGTCTCTATAGAAATCGGCCTTAAAAGTTCCAAACATTAAGGACAAAGGTCCTGCATAAAAGCCTTTCTTCAGCATAATTGTGCACCTTTTCAATGAAAAAAAAACATATAGTAAGTTTTATTAGTTAAATCAAACTGTTTTGTTCGTTTGTTAAATGTAACTAAACTCTTAAAACACTGAATAAACATTAGCCAAACCCCAGCAACACAAGAGAAAATGCCGGTAGTTGTTACCGTTTCCAGAGGAGGTCTGAACACCATTGTCTGAACAATGATGCATTAAATATTTTTTTTCTTTGACCAAGGCCACCATGTGATAGTTCTTAATGCTTTTTGTCCTTTTTTAAAATCACCCCTAGCTGACTACTACATTGTAGAAATGTAGAATTGGGACATTTCTATGAAACAACTGTACAATTTTTTCATAAGAGGCAAACTACCGCCGATACAACAAGGTAACGTCAATCCTGTGTTATCTACTGCCCTAGAGCCAGAAACATGTAAGGTACAAGTGATATTTATGCTCTCACTGCATCAAACCGATAACTAAAGACGCAATGAAATAAAAAAAAGTTTTCTTTTTCTGCAACACATGCAAAATTCTTCACAATCAGGTCAGTGGAACAATAAATGTCATGACTGTGTAATCTCTGAAAATGAAGGAACTTATACTGTATGCATAAAAAAAACTTTTAGAGGAACTATCTATATTAAAAACACAAATTCTAAAACATTTGTAAACATCGGGTGCTGTAATAGGATTTCTATTGAAAACACCTTTTTAAAAATGTAAACTTACATTAAAAAATCCCATCTCATTTGATGTAAGTTGGTTTCTCCTTCCCATTGGCAAAACACAAACACCAGGATAAAGTGCAATGTCAGTCTCACAGATTGTCGACAGAAGAAATTGTGCAGGTTACAGTTGGTTCCTCAGTTCAACTAATTAACAAAAAATGTTAACACTGGCCTCTTTTTCTACCAACTGCCTATTCCAGTCTTTGACAGGCAGTAGTAATTCCCTTAACGTCCTTCGTCCTCTTAGAAATGAGGCTGTATTGTGTACAAAATTTCTCTCCATAAGCAATATTTCTTCCGGTTTATGAAAATGTTTCTGAGTTACTACATTTGAGATCTTACCGGTGTAAAACCCAGCTAACAAGGGTGATCTTTTGCAGCACCTGTCTACCCCACTAAAGTGCACAACGAGGGAAACCCCATCAATGTTACAGAGCAGTACGGATGTTCCCACTGGCATCTTACCTATAGGGACTTACCATTGGTCTAAAACTTGCTGCTAAAGGAAATCCCCACTTGTGAAATGATTTCAACCCTAACCCTTAAAAATGTTGCTATCAGTCATATTTGTTGCCTGAAATTCTGCTAGTGATCATTTGAAATAATTCCTTGATCTCTATGCGTTCAAAGATGTTGTATAGAGTACTATATGTCAGTGCTGCATGGTGTTAAGTTTGTATAATAGGCTGTTGTAAACAAAGAAAGTTCCAACTCGAAGAAATGGTTAATTCTCACGTCTTTTTTGGAATTTTTTGCTCAAATGAACTTGTAAAAGATTTAAAAGAACAAGATTATTTTCCCACAGGAAATGGGAAATTTTGTATGCTCAAGAGTGCATATCTTACACATTCATCTTTTAACTCACTACCTGAGTGTGGTTTTCACTATTTTGTGTGAAGTATTAAATACATCTACTGTATGTATCTGGCAATGATACCATTGAAGAAGCCTGATTCAAATATTGTCCATTTATTAACCATTATGAGCAGTCTGAAGCAATGGGACCTCCTATGGTCTCCCATTCTGTGAAATTACAAAATGAAGCATACATATTTATTTCAATTCTAATAATTTATTAAAAATCTGAAAGCTCAACCTAGAGACATTAAGGGTAGAATAGGTTGCCGTAAATGACAGCAATAAACTGAAGATGAAAAAATGAAATATGTTAAGTGCATAAGTATACAGACCCATGAGCTCAATATTTGGTGGAAGCATCTTTTGCAGTAATTATAGCCAAAAGTATTTTTGGGTAAGTCTCTACCACCTTTGCTCACCTGCTTAATGCAATTTTTGCCCATTCTTCTTAGCAGATTTGCATCAGCTCTCTCATGAGGATCTGTTATGAACAGCTATTTTTAATCATTTCCACAAATTTCCAATAGCATTCAAGTCAGAACTTTGATTTTACCAAACAAGGATATTCAATTTCTTATTCTTAAGCTACTACAGTACAGTACAATCTTGGTATTGTGCTTTGGGTCACTGTCCTGTGAATGGTGAATTGTCTGCATAGTTTTAAGTCTGAAACAGGTTTTACTCTAAGATATGTCAGTACTTTGCCTCTTCTCTGTTCCCATACTGTAAGTCTTGAGTCTTGAGCTTTCTAGTCACTGGTGATGAGAAGCAGAACTAATATAAGGTTCCCACCACCATGTTTGACAGCAAGGATTGTGCAGACTGAGTGATGCATTATGTTGGGTTTTTGTCTGATGTTATGCTTTGCATTTATATCAAATGGTTCCAATTTTTCTTTTGTCTGACCACAAACCCTTTTGCCACACTTTTGCAGTAAGAAGCATGTGCTTTGTTGCAAACCTCATGTGGGATTTGAGAAGGTTTTTTTTTTCAGGTCAATGCAAACCTACTTTATGGAGTCAAAGGGATTATGTTGACTCATGGACCTTTCCTCCCATTTTCTCTGAGCCACAGAACTCTTTGACCCTTTCAAAGAGTCTGATGGCTTCAGAGAGACATCCCTAACTGAGTTCCCTTAGCCTGGCAGTTCAGATTGGAAGGAGAGCCCGATTTAGGCAGTGGATGAGATGCCTTCTACGTCTACGTCATGATTGACTTCTCTGTGCTGAAAGAGATTTTCAGAGACTTTGAAATGTTTTTATACCCTTATCCTGTCCTGTGCTTTTAGCAACTTTATCTCTGAGTTATGTTGAAAGCTACTTGGTCTTCATGGTTGAATTTTTGCTTGAATTTACGCAACTGGCTGACCATGCAGATATAGGTGTATTTCTTGTACTGAAATAATGCACAGCACTATTGTTGCACACTGACGACATACAGTAAGCCACTGAACTAGATGCAGTTCAGTGGCTTACTGAACTAGATCATCTCTCTAAGATGTAGTCATTTTGTGCATCTACATTTAATTAATTTAAGTTTGCCACAGCAAAAGGTTTAAATACTTACCCAATCATGACTTTTCTATTATTCTTTTATATATATTATATAAATTATATATTTACTTCTCTTTAATTTTTTGCTTTGAATGTGGGTAAATAGAGCAGAAGGTTGTGTATGTAACACCTATTAATTGATACTTAAAGAGCACAGACTACAGGCTCTAAACCAACAAAAAAGTGTGAAAACTGTACAAGAGTCTGAATACTTCTGCAAGGCACTGCATATCTGAAACTGTATCAATGATGGTAGAAAAAAACTGATTTCAGCAACATCAAGTATGCATGTTTGGTTGTGCAATTACATCAGTATCTCATGATATTGCTTTTTTGTTTTTACCTTTACAGTGAAATGCCTAGAGGATAATTTTTGCTCCTATATAACACTAGTGAAATATGATATACAGTTCAGTAAAAATGTTGTTGAATGGATGGATACTGTAAACTTTTTTTAAAATAACTTGAAGTACCAGAAACCATACTGGATGTATTTCAATGTCTTTTTAACTACAAACTGGGACATGGTACTGTATATGCAGTGGGTTGTGTACAGTTTTTTTCTGCAAGTGTATATACAGAACACTTGATCCAAGTCAACTCTGTCAAGACGCACTAGTCCTTGTCTGAATAATTGGACACTGATTTCAGTTTCTAGTTGTCAGAGTACTTTCACAAATTCAAGATCACATTCAATTCCTTTAACTGATGTACATGTAATCCAAAAATAGAGAGGAGACAGGAGACTGAAAACAGTTGAGGAATACTTCAGTGGGGGTGAGTGAATGAATGGTGAGATGGTATGATATATGTTGCAGCGATTTATGGATCAAATTCTCAAATAATACGATCTTTGTCTTTCTTTTGTTTAAATTGTTTTATGCAAAAACTGAATCTACAGCATATGATGAGATTTTATGTTCTGGGGTTATTACTACTAGTATTTTCTGATAAACCTACAGGTCTGTTCACCTGATATACATACAATATCAGGTCAGAAGTGAACTCATTAGCAGCTGTCTGGTTCTGCATGCAAAACAATATAATAGTTCCAATTACAAAAACGTTGTCCAACAAATGTTTCTCCTCAAGTGACTACTTGCAGTTTCTCTCTAATTTGTGTCATAAGAAAGAATTTCTAAGTTTTAACAACAGTATAAGAATTGAACATAGCTGAATAGCTTGGCTTAGAACGGAAGGAAAGAAAAATGGATTAAAATGCCAACTAACAGTGGAATAGCCATGACAATTTCATTAAAGCTACTGCTGCATTATGATTATCATATAGATTGTTCCTTGACTTTCTGTTAGATTATACTATATATGGTTTGTAACAGTGAAATGAAGAAGCTCCTCTATAATTTCACCATGCTCAGCTGGTGGAATTTTTGTATATGTTGTACAAGTTCAATTTAGGCACACAAGTGGTTTTATAATGTAGTTTTGAAGTATGCTTATTATCTTTGGCTGTGTTTAGATCATCAAAACTGCAGTAATACAGTATTATTCCATGTTTAACTGTAAATAGGATTCAGGAAAAAGACCAAGAAACCTTTGGCCACCTCCCTCTCACTACTGATGTTTTCTGTGTGTAGGAGGTATAAGACAACTCCCAAGCAATGTTCCTGCTACTCACCCCACAGGGGTCCTGTGTATTGCGGTCACGCATGGTGATGCAGTCCATGCTGATCTGGATGGTATTGCCAGCAGCACCATGCACTGGGCTCTCAGAGAAGTCTAGCTCAATTGGCTGAACTGTATGAAATGCAGATCTGGAAAAAAAAAGATTTATGACAAATAAAACAAAACAATAAATCACAAATGCACACAATTGATAAACAAGAATATCTGGGATATGATGTTCCTACTATCTCATATTCTGGTCACACACCTCAGAGAGTGTTCAGTTTAGTGTTCTGTTTAGAGTACATTTCATCATGACATCTGATACAACACTTTGTGCTTTTGTGTTTACTCAAGAAAATAAGATATTTGTTCAGATATTAAGAGGCAGTCCTGACCCAAACTGTCAACCATACTGTACGTAGAGGAGGGTTGTAGTTTGGAAAGGCATCCATACACAGACTGCACTGTGTTCCACTAACTCCCATAAGGAAATCACTCAGACAAGGTAAGTTCATGTGTATCTACACCGTCCTCACTGGAATAAGTCCTTCTCATTTCTCTCATCTGTAATTTCTGAAAGGCTATTACTTTGTTTTCAGATACATTTATAAAAATGTAAAAAAGAATGTTTTTCCAACACTAATTCTAACAAATCCATGCAAAGCAGTTGGCAGGAAGTATACAGAGAAAGTATTAGGTGTGATTGAAAAGGCCTGTGGGGTTGGGAGGGGGAATCTATTACTGTCATACCTTTCTAATTCACTTCCTATAACTGAAGCTTTTCTGTAGAATGCTTAGAAACCATTGCCAAAAGTAATGAGTTTAGGACTCCAGTCAATACTGTCAGCAGCCTTACCACGTTGTAGATCTCAGAAGCTAAGTAATGTTGGGCCTGGTCAGAATTTAGATGGGAGGAACACCGGGCAGCCTCAGACAACACCACTTGGACCACAAGGTGGCAACTTTTCCAATGACCCCGTTTGGTGACATGGAAATGCTATGTTATAGGAGGTGCCGTTCTTTGGATGACACATTAAACCAAGGTCATGACTACTTGGACATTAAAGACACCAGACTGTAGCACTGTCTGTATGAGTTAGGAGGCTTAACCCACAATTCCTCTTGCTGAATTCCTCTGTGGGCTTTCATAATCTGGTCTCTGTAATTTCCTACCTTTTTTCAACTTGAAAAGTAATTTCTCACTTCTGTAGTGTGGTGGCTGGCTTGTAATGGCTGCCATACACTATTCAGGTGAATACTACATTGCAGGGGTGGATGAAGTAGATTCTTTCCTACTGTATTTATGAAGCTCTTTGGGATCCTTTGGGATGAAAATAATAATAATACAAGCTATTATTAAAGCTGATTTCATCTGACACAGGAGAATTTTTCTGAGTCCCTTTAAATGTTGAAAGAAGCCAAAAATATTTCTCCTTAACAATGTAAAGAAACATAGAAACATAAAGGTGAATTTTGGGCTTGTGTGGGTATTTTTTCAGAAACCATCCTAGTGTATAACAGCGTTGAAAGCATAACTCACTTAAATCGTCACCCTTTGAATGCCTAAGAACAGTTCCTTGGTTCATAGCTCATGTATATACTCACTGGTCCAGCATTTCCAGTAGCTGGTTGAAGACATCCTGGCTGAGTATATCAGTGGCCTGAGAAGATGAGGACTGAGACATGGAGGTAAGGAATGAACTCTCTGTCCACGAAAAGCAAGTTGATGGATCTCTCAATCTAGAAATACACAAAATAAAAATAATGTTCCCATTAAAAATCCCCAGTGGATCAATTATTAGTACAAATGTACATTCAAAAGTATGACCCCAGGCTTCTTTCGTTAGAATTATATTATATACAATAAATTTTATTTACTTTCCCTCCAAATTTGAATGTACTGTATTAAGCATAATGATTTAACACCTTCAAGCATCTAAGGGTAACTAGGCTGTAATTAAAGACATGCAAGTATTTTCTAGATTTGTAGAACTATTATCACTTTGAAATCTTAAGTTAGGCAATTTGGAGACTGATAGTTAGTCTATAGATTAAAAGGTTTGCCTTGGAAGAAGAGAAGTTGTATCTTAACCCTCTTCAGTTACAGTAATTCCCTTCTTGTCATTTATCACTTAGCAATGTGATAAAAGGCTGTGGAGCTTTCTTCAGGTGTCACTTGAAGAAGGTGGTCTGACACCTTAAGAAGACTTCACAGCCGAAACATTGTGGCTCTTTTATTTTTCTCTGAGCATGGAATAAACCTTTACCTGTTCCTTTAATACAGTTATGCATTACCCTATCATGAGCAGTAGACTCATTCTAATATCTCTAATATTCTTAGAAGCATATAAGCCAACTTGGTATATAAACCAAGAAAATATTACTTGTCTTTTAACAAAAACATTATTACGTTATTACCCAGCATTCACAATTCACAATAATAATTCACAAAGGTGCTTATTAATTCTGAACAAGACTGTACATATAAAATCTCCAAGAGAAAATTTAGAGACTACTAAAGTAAACAAAGTGTGCACAGTATTCATATAGCAGGTTCAATAAATATTTGAACACCTGCAACCTCAGCTTAGAAGAACCTAAAAAATATTTCACAAAAGCATGTTTATACTTTGGCAATATTTAGTAGAAAAGGCCTGAAAAAAACTTGTTTAGTATAAACAATAACATATTCTTACTTCCTATTTCACTGTATTCTTATGGATGGATATAGCACTTTTAAAAGAAGGTATAAGAGTGGAATTGATATGTACTGTATTTGGATTTAATGGGATGTTTCCAGAACAATAAATGTGCACTGTGTCTCAAATGATGACATGCAAGCAGAAGCTACCGTACAAACTGTACCTAACTGATGTGTTTCAACCTATATCTAATTTTAATTTTTGTTGAGAATTCAAAGTTTAACTGTGATTTAAATTAACCGCTGGTGCCCACTGATGCACATTATCACACAAGGAAAACGCACACTTTTGTATGGAAATCTGTCAGATGCAAGTCTATGGCAGGAGCCATTGTTCATCATTTACTGCTGCACATGCTGCCATCTGCGTGGTGTGGAATTCCCCTACGCTATATGATAGCTCTGCAGTGATTTGCAGTTATTGGTATGTGTACAGCTGTACAGAACTAAGAGGGTGGGGGCTGGAAGAGGCCCAGAAACAGACGCTGGCACAGAGCACAGAGCCGGAATTCCCCTACATTCTGCACAGTAGGATATTAATACCTGATCCCCCAACGCAAACACTTTTAATGAAGCGCAGCAAATCTCAGCACAACCATAAGCTGGATTTCAACCCTCTCCCTCTTCGGTTTGTTAGGAAAAAAACTAAACAAAATAAAATGTGGAATGGAAAGATTTCCTTTTAATAATCTGCTTTATCTCCAAGGCCCATTTTTTTAACTTTTGTATTTTTCTTTAATTTACATCATAGAGAAATGAGCAGATTCTCACCTAGCAGATGGAAGAGTATTACAGTATATTGGTTCAACAATTCCTGTTGGTTTCCTGCTGGAAGTACATGTAACAAATAATTACAGACTGTCCAGGTTAAAGAAATGAGCCTTTGTTTAAAATCATTGCACAATCCAGAAACAAGGATAGATTTACAAATCTCTTGTGACATTGACTGTAACTTATATGAGGCAGATGTCTTTCATGTTTCCTATGCAGATATGTGATAGTGGCTGAATTAGGGGATTTCACAAAACAATCAGGCTAGAATTTTGATAATTTCCCTCTAAACAGGCAAACAGCCGTCAGGAATTTAATTTGAAAAAAGATAAATAATTCCCCCTATAAGCAGGTAAACAGGAATTATTGTTTTAAAAACAATACGTTCCTGTGTGGTAGTGCCCCCTATCACCATGATAAAGTAAATACACAAATTGCTACAGTTCTTACTGTAGTCCAAAATGTCTAGTCATCTGTCCTAGTGCTGATCATCCCAAAATCACTTTGTTGATTAATTTGTGATGGTACAGTAGTTTGTTTATGGTAATCATAATCTGAGCATACAAAATAATTGTATATGACCCATGTTTGTAAATGTAAATGTAGGTATTCTATCTTATTATAACCACCCACTGGTTCATCTCCACATGCCTTAAAAAAAATCAAAATTCACTTTGATTAAACATATCCCAAATTTAAAATATATATAATTTAAAAGTAATCAAAATACATTTTTCATTGTTTATAATCATAGCTGGAAAACAGTCATGTTTGGGCATTTCCAAAATGTGTGACTTAATCTTACCGTTTTATTCTACATAATTTCATCTAATTTCTTCTTCAGAAATCTAACTCAAATCAGCTGCCAATACAGTATTACAGTATTCACATGTCACCCTTCCTATCCCCAGTGCTGTACTGCACTATTTTTTTTTAATTCCAACAACAGGACAGTAACTTGGCCAAAAATCAATTCAATCAATTTTCACTTACGCACCCGATTAATAGAAATAACCCCCACCAGTCCAGAGTGAACTGCATTTTGGAGAAACAAAAACATATATTTTAATTGGATTTCTGACGGCAGAAAAATACTATACTAAAACTCCATATATTGATTTTTTGCCTTATTGAATCCATTGTTCTCAGCTTTGCAGAATGAATGAAATAATTCATTGTTGATAACTTTTTAAATAAGAAAAAACAGTGTTACTTAAATGTGATAGGGAACTTTAGGATCTGTAGATTTTTGTAATCGTAAATAAAAAAGCAGAAATAATATTCATCATCTGTGAGTGCTACAATGGTGCAATTCAAAGAAAGGTTTCATGAACCCCCCCTTTTCCCCAAAAAAGTCTGTAAAAAAATTAAACATTTCACGGAAGGCACAGAAGATCCTTTTCATAAGCCAGAAGGGTGTGGCAAAGAGTGAACGCTCGAATTGCATTGCTAGGAGAAACACACTGTGCTGCCACGACTGTCAAAAAGACTTAAAAGTCTTTTACCTCTGTGTGTACTTTACACAGATATATGGATAGTCATTTGGCACAGAGTGTTGTATTCTGATGCCAAACGCATTTGCATTACAGGCAGTGTCACTCATCAACAATTCACAACCAGTTTAAGCTGAGGTTTGTTCACTGGACATCCAGGACACACACAAGATCTTACAGCTGTACACCTGCAACTGCATTGTGCCTTTACACAGGCATCCACTGGGCTGTACCTAGATTAATGAATGGCAAAAGCATGAAGGTTCTGTTGTTTAGCATACAGCAGTACCTTCTGGGTGGAATTTATATGATATTAGATATCCACCATGCTTAACCTTTTGTCTGAGGTTTAGCAGTGCAGGTAGGGTTGTGTAGATAGGTTTAGGAATGCTGTAGTGGAAGCTTATATTATAATCTTCCAAAATGAGGTAAGTGAAGGTAATTCTGTAGATGCCAAGCAGGAGCAAGATGAGAATTCACACAGGGGTGGCCTATTTATAAAATCACATCTATAAAGTTTTACACATAATATGTAAATTCACCGTAAACTAGTTAAAAAGGTTTTCAGCTTTGAAAATCATTTGACAGTTGACAATTACTACGTCAATATACCGAATGTTACTCCAATTTAAGACCACTGTTTCAGTTTCTGGCGATAAAATAAATACAAAAAAATCCAGCAAATAAATACAAGAACTTGTGGTTACCTCAATATGGAAGACACAAAAAGGACCTAAAACGGGTATTTCTAGGCACATGGTTAACCTCATGTTTTATCTTAAAGAGGCATCTTTCAATATGAGTCACTATTACTGGTGAAAGTCATCCGGTAGTGACCTGCATGACATAAAAAGCAGCATTCGAGAAAGTGTGATATAAAAAGTAAAACAATTAAAAGTCCTAGTGACTTATTGTAATTCAATTTTGTAGTTAATTGTTAATTATTATTTATTAATGTTATTAATTACAAATATTAACTAATCATTGTAGTGCCTAAATGACCTATTGGTCTCATGGCACTGTTCTTTATGGTAGGATGAAGTGTTTATCATGGTATCCTGGCTGAATTCCCTTCAGTTTTCTCAGTGAATTAAGATCTACGTCCTCCATTGGATATGGTGTACTGTTTAGTAGGACTACTGACACATAATAGGTGCTGCACTTTAATAATGTACGAAGTAAGTCCTCTCCTATATGTAAAATGCTTTGGGATCCTTTGGGATTAAAAGTGCCATAGATATGTAATTATTATGATTATCAACAATAAAACACACACCACGTTCTCATATACTGTTTACCAATCTAACTCCACAGCAACCTGCCCATTCCCTCACTCATCAGCACTTTCTGTTTGCTTTGTTTAGTGCTGCTTGAGTAGGTTTGAAAAGACTGGACTTTGAAAGACTGCAATAACCCACCTCTTCCCTTTAACCAAAAAAACAACTCCATGCCAGCATTTTGTAAACAAAAGTCTGCCTGCCATTGTTAGTACAGTAGAAGATTTATTCCCAAAAGAAACTGGGAAAAAAAATCACAAAGCTTGTGCTCCTAGTCACAGGCGAAGGAACAAAGAAATGCGTGTTCCCTTTCCCCATTAGCCTTCATTCGTACCCAAGAATGGACTACAAGAGAGAAAACAAAATGCTTCTTTTCTATTTTGAAAACACTGTGCATAGGAGCACCTGCAACAGACTTTAAGGATTAATCCCTGTGTTGATAATTATGTTAAGGCTGCACCCAGCATGTTCAGAGCTCCTATTGAAAATTAAAGGCCT